CTGTAGCGTATCTTTCAAGGTTATTGAATAAAGCGGAAAGAAACTATACTACCACGGAAAAGGAGTGTGTTGCAGTTTTATACGCGATGAATCAGTTTAGACCTTATCTCTTATGCAAGAAATTTACCCTGATTGCTGATCAAGAACCTCTAAACTTTATGCATAATCGTAAGGACCCAGGACAAAGGCTAATGAGGTGGTTCTTTAAATTCACAGAATATTAATATACATTCAAGTATAAACTCGGAAAATTAAATTGCAACGCAGACGCACTCTCAAGGAACCGGATGAACTTGCAAGAGTATTTAGACGAAAAGGTTCAGAAAGAAAAAGAGCTGAATGAAAATATCTCGAAGATTCAGGTAATGATGCTAAAGCGTAAGACTGGAGGAAAAGAAACAGACAAGAAAGAGAAAGTAGAGCCACAGGAATTGACTGGTAAACGGAAGAGGGCTCATACTATCTCGAACGAACCGAGGACAAAAGGAAGGCCTGTTGGAGCCAAGACAAATAAAGAAAAACCAAATTTAGATAATACCATTGCTGAAAGAATTCTAAGCAAGAAGTCTGTGAAAACCGCAGAAAAAACTCCCCGACTACCGAATGAACCCAGACCCAGCACTTCTAAACTTAAAGTGGAGGTTGAAAAAAGGACTAAATTAGACAAGAATAAACCTTTACCGAAGAGACTAACGGCGTTACGAAAAACTACATTGGATGCGGCAATAGATGATTCCAGATTGAAATCCAATGAATTGGACAAGGAAATCCCGCCTCAAGTTAGAGAGCGGGAAGAAGTAACGTTGACTGATGAATTTGCTATCGAAGTTGCCGTGAAGGAGGTTGATAGCAACGAGTTCATTAAAGATTCGTCTTTTTCGTACACATCAGTGCCAGTGGCTCGGATTCTGATAGCGAGACCGGAATGAAACAGGCAAGCTCCTCTCGGGGACCCTTGTTATCCTCAACTAGGATGGAGGATAAAGATCCGAAAAATGTCCAAGACAGTACGGATGACAGACCCCCGATAGAAGATCCGCGACATAGTGAGCTGAGAAAAGAAACCGAAACGGAAGGGGACAACTCAAGCGATGAAGTTCAGAGTGATAAATCGGAATTTACTGAACGAATAGAGTTAGACGTTAGTCGACCTCAAATCAGCGGGAACTTTGGAGAAGACGATGAATTAGCAGAAAACGAAAGTTCCACTAAAAGATGCGAAGAACGAGCCCCGGCACAGAGGACTAGTTTATCGGCAAACGAAGTGTGGAAATCAGCAGAAAGATTCGAAGCTAGTTTGAGAAGACATAAAAGTTTAGATAATGAATCGTACTATTGGGATGACATGAGCCTTGCGCGATACAACCGAACCATAGAAATACCTTCTCATTTCTCAGATGGAGACCCCCCCCCCCCAAGAGCTATAAGAGACGCTATGGAGCCTTGTCCCATATGATGAAATAAATGATTCTGATGAGGTAATGGCGAATAGAATAACGAAGTTAGTGGAAGATTCGCAAAAATTAATGGAAACTCATCTAGAACACGACAGTGGCCCGGACACAGATCGCCCGGACGAAGATGAAAGTCAACGTCTCTCGATACGACTAAAAGAGCAAGTCCTGAAAGAATTAAGGAAGCTGAAGAAACTTTAAGGCAGCCACGATATCGACAGATATCAGTAACCCCAACTATTAAAACAGGAATACCGGGAGCCAGAAGTACTCCTATGGCTAAAGGACCTCGACTTATGGTAAGATTCGAAGGGCTTGAGGGCATACCCGAAGAGTCAGATCCTAGAAACAAGAGCCCTGTAGAATTACACTTTTCAAAAACACCCGTAGATGATGAATTATTCTTCTTGTTACCGCCGACAGGACCGATTAACCAATATCGAAGACCGGAAGACTATAAAAACCCAAGCTCAAGCAGTGAAACCGGAAGCAGAAATTCTTCAATAGGACCTGCAAAATATATCTTACAAAATAATGTAAGCACGAGCCAACAATGTTTAACCTATCGACGAGATAACATTGTACATTTTATATCGCGAGACTGTAATGACCAAATTGCTATTTCGAAATTATTAAGTGAAATTGGGGCTATAGACCTACGCAATATGAGATCTTTGAAACCTAAGGTCGGACAAATACTAACGACCAGATATAAAAACCATATTTTCTCTGTAGTCATAAAAGACAAATATAATGACTCCATTATTATAGAGGCTATAAACGTCGGACTTACAAATTTAAAGAAGGTACTGATTAAAAGAAATATAGTAAGTTTCCGGACTGCTAGACGAGGAGACTATACCGATGACCTTGGACCTGGATTACTAACAGAAATATTAATAAGAATTTTTGAGAAGAGTCCTATAAAAGTAATTGTTTGTTATGGGAACATGATTCTCCCACGGGCAAACCAGCTGACCGAAATAATTAAAACACTACATGACAGCCTAGTGGGTGGCCGTAAGGGTATTAACCAGACATATCAGAAAATTCGAGCAAGATATTATTGGCCATAAATACGAAAGGACATCTTAAATTACGTACGGAAATGTCCGAGTTGTCTTGAGAAGAAAATTGATCGTCACAAGACTAAGGAAACGATGCTGATTACGGACACACGAATCGAGGCGTTCGACAAGGTATCGATAGACACCGTAGGAAAATTACGAACCATTCCTAGTGGAAATTCTCACCTGCTGACCATGCAATGCAATCTGACCAAATACTTAATTGTAGTGCCAATAAAGGACCTTAGAGCAACCACTATTGCTGACGCATTAGCCAGACATTTAATATACCTATTCGATGCCCCTAGAGCAATATTGTCAGATAGCGGGACAAGCTTTCTTTCGGAGATTGTAGAATCACTATTACATTTATTCAAAATTCATCAGTTAACAACTTCCGGATATAGACCTCAGACTAATAGGTCTCTTGAGAGAAGCCATGCACCATTAATCGATTTCTTACGAATATATTCGGAGCAATTCGACGACTGGGATCGGTTAACCCCCTTTGTCGTTTTCACATATAATACGAGTATACATAATGGAACTGGTTACACCCCCTTTGAACTAGTTTACGGACGAATCGCTCGTTTCCCCATGAAGATACCTAGGGAGGAAAAATGAGGGACCTATAACCAATATCTACGCGATCTAGTCTTACGTTTGACAGAACTGAAGATAGCGGCGGGTGATAATCAAATTCGTAAAAAGGAAAAATCTAAAAACCAATACGATAAACACGCTAAACCCTTTAAAGGGGAAGTCGGCGATTATGCCTGGATATTGAATGAAACTCGGGTAGGAAAAGCCGATAGCTTTTATAAAAAACCCCTGAAAGTTGTCGAAATTTTAAATCATAAAATCGTTTTATTAGAATTACCCAATGGAAAAACAATACGGAAACATATGGATAAATTTAAGCTACAGTCGTAACTATATAAATTCAATTATTCACTTATATTATCTATTCTACATTCTTCGTCTACACTATTTACTTTGTTCTGTTCTTTCAGGTACTATTTCTTTTAATATACTTCTTTTCGTTTAATATGTATCTAATCTTACTCTCCTTTCTCTCCGTATTCGCCTCGTCTATTATGGACCCCAAGCTTATTCTATAGCAAAGCTAGACAGCAACCCAGGAATTTAATACGAAAGAATAGATCCAATGAGAATAAAGAGGGCAGATTGGAAAGTATACATATCCATCGACCTCAGTTTGTTCCTGGCGAAAGCCACTGCTATAATTGACCTACGGTCGCTACTATAAAATTGTACTGGGCATCTCGATGAGGAAACTTGCAGTAATATAATCGGCAAGGATCACATTGATCTGAAGACAATCGCTCTTGAACAAATACAAATGAAGATTCAAGGAGCTATTGAGAACATGGGACATATACAATCACCCGATGTCCAAGGACCTAAAAATATCAGGCCAAAAAGACTGGTACCTTTTGGAGACATAGGATGACTGAGTCATAGTTTATTTGGATTAGTGACTATTGACGAAACCGATAAAATAGAAGCCAACATAAATCAATTATATGCGGACCAAAAGGATATCATTAAACTTTTCAATGATAGGACCCATATAATCACCACAGGAATGGAAAAACTATATAAAATGATAGACGTTTACGGGGACAGAATTTATAATTTAAACCTCTAAATGCGACAAAAATTCAAGAAATTAGAAAATGAAAATACCCGACTTGCGATTGCGCAAATAAAGATTGGACCAAAATCACGAGCTTTTGCCTCCTTCCGTTAACTATTTTGTTTATATATCAATAAAGGGGACCATTTATATTATTTTACTATTATTATTTATCATTATTATATATATTAACCCATTAACGTCAAATGTGCACGTTTGCTCATGCCCACTTTGAACGCTGTATAGAAGAATCAAATCGAGCAAAAATGATCATGCAAACCATGATTTCTGATAGATTTTTCAATGAGCTTTCAGAATATGGGGTGAAAATTCTGAATAAAGCTTTTTTGAGCCTCATTTTTGCAATTGTAGGAAAAAAAATGTGAAAATTTTCAGATTTTTTTTTGAAAAACCAAAATTTTGACAAACTTTTTCGTCAAGCCAATCATTTTCGAATAAAAAAATAGCAAAGTTTTACTCTTGTTGAAACAACTAAAAATGTAGGCTATAAGCAAGATACCTATGTTATCAGACTTTTTAGACAAACATATTTTTGCATACCTATAAAGGCCACATAAAAAGTGACATAGCATGCCTATTACATAAAAATGGTGAAATATAAATCTGCTTCTATCATAAACCAACGGGTGCGGACTCAAGAGCTCGTCACTTCTCCTGTAGTTTATGACTCCAACCCGCCCGATAGTTTGTCCTTACTCTTGCTCCAACTCATATTCCGGATATAGTGAATTCTCTCACTTTTTCTTTCTTTTACGCGGGATTCCCAAACAGTTTTTGTACGCGTGTAAATTCCATTTTTTACATAATCGTCGTGTTCATTGTAGCAGTGGCATTTGTAGCCGCAGCTTGAACCAATCTTATCATGATTATCCATGTCCATTTCTTCGAATGTATGCTTGGCCGCACTTGATTTGCATGTTGATCATGCAAATCGACACCTCCCATGAACTTGTTGTAAATGCAAAATGTATTTGGAAATGGTATTGCTATTTTACTTCTCGATTCTTTATCATAACGACTCACATTAGACATTGGAGTGACTCCTGAAACCGTCGAAAGGATAGATACAGGCTTGGAATCCATTACAGTAATGAAATTCATCCCACTCAAGTTATCGTGTTTTGCTAACCAGGTGCCCCGTTTTGCTTTCTAATATCATTTGTTGCTTTTATTCTATTACTTCTTACTGTACCAGTGGCTCGAAGACCATTTATTTTCAAATGAAGTAATAGATCTGGACAGCAAAATAAATTGTCAAAATAATAATGGTATTCATTTAGTTTCCTTGAAGTGCAGTGGTGTAATAGGTGCTGTAACATTTGTAAAACGACACGTGAACCAAGAGCAATATTTGGTAGTAGATTATCCTTTGCATTCTTTCCACAATAAATCTCGAAGTGAAATAAAAAACCACTGTAGGAACATAAAGCCCATAATTTGATACCAAATCGTATCGGTTTCCCTTTGATGAACTGTTTGAGAACCCATCTATCGTAATATTTAGCCATCATTTCATCTATGGACAGTGTAGTCAAGAAAAAATTGAATCTCTTGATGTTTTTATTGAAAATATCAACTATTTTCCGAATTCTCCAGATCCTATCGTCCTTATCTTCCTCTTCTGGATTAGAATACTTCAAGTTAGATTTTATTTCATCAAACTCAGTTCTTCCCATTGCAAATATAACCGGATCAGCGCATAAGAGAGGATTAGTAGACCAATAGACTCTTTGAGAATGCCTCGTATTATAAGAAGAAAATAACAAAATACCTAGAAACACATCAAATCGATCGCGAGTAAGTTGATAACCATTAGATTCGGTACATTCTATGATGACTTTCTTCAAATCATCAGAAAAGAAATACTCAAATAGTTCAGTTGGCATGTTAGATAGAATAATTTTTTTATACTTCTCAAATAATAAGTTTTTATTAGTTACATCGTCTGGATACTGCTTTTCTCCATCAACCTAATTATAATGGTAATTGTTTTCCAATGGGTTTTGGGACGAATCGTATTGATAGAAAATTTTTGCATATGATATTTTGGGAGACGAAAAATTGCAATCGATGTCGCCATTGTTGGAACTCTCATCATCCGATGATGCTACATCACTATCACCATCCTCATCATCATCATCATAGGTATCGGACTCGCCCGAATCTTCGGGATTAGGAAGATAAATAGCTTCATTGAACTGATTATTTTCAGTAGTTTTAACGAGTCAACCGTAACCCTCCTTCGACTTTCTAGAACGATTACTTATTCTAGGAATATTTATTCTATATCAAGACTGGAATAAAAACATTGAAGTAACAGAGAGAAACTACTACCCTGAATTTGTCATTCGAAAACAAAATAATTGACAAGTGAAAATAATGAGAATGAAATGTGAGGAATTTCAATTATAGATTTATCAATAAGGATGGAGTTGTAGTGCAATTAAAAATATATAATTTTTAATGGAAAGATATTATGTATTTATGCGTGTTATGCAAACGTTTGCCAATGCGTAACAGGGCACGGAATTAGTTAGATATTTTTTATTAAAAAATGATTGGCTTGACGAAAAAGTTTCATACAATAAAAAATGCTTAAAATCATTCGAAGAATACGTGTGAATTTTCTCAAGATGTTTTGAGCCACTTTCGATTTTTTTATTCTGGTCATTTTCCGGAAAAATTAGAAAATTTTCCAGTATGTCCTGGAAAAATTTATACGTATGAGTATTCTTTCAATAATTCTAAATACTTTTTGTTCAGTGAAACTTTTTCATAAAGCGATTTCTTTTTGAGTAAAAAATTAATTAATAATTTATTATATTTTTTGACTTTCGGACGCCATTTTGTATTTGCGAAGTTGATTTTTGATGTTCTTAGAGATACGATTTTAAAGGAAAAATAATTTGTGCACGATTTCTGGAGATTTGAGACATCTAGCTCAAAGGATTCTCTGTCAAAATTTTGGTTGTTCAAAAAAAAATCTGAAAATTTTCACATTTTTTTTCCTACAATTGCAAAAATGAGACTCAAAAAAGCTTTTTTCAAAATTTTCACCCCATATTCTGAAAGATCATTGAAAAATCTATCAGAAATCATGGGTTGCATGATCATTTTTGCTCGATTTGATTCTTCTACGAGGGTGGTCCGACATGTACTGAGCCTCACCGCCCGATGACGCCACTCTCACAAAAGAAATATTCTATCAGGTAGTACAACTTTCTCGATGGTTACTGTCAAGATTTCAGCCGGATCGGAGTTGTAGTTTATTTTTGAGAGAGTGTGAAAGCAAGTGTGTCCGTTGATTTTTGAAAAATGGAAAAAGAGCAGTATCGGTCGATGATTCGATTCTTGTTTTTGGAAGGGAAATCGCGCAGCGAAATCAAAAAGCGCTTGGATGCTGTGTACGGTGACTCTTTTCCTTCGATGGCGACCGTCAAAAATTGGTTTAACGAGTTTCAACGTGGTCGCACGTCGATTTTTGAAGAGCAACGTCCAGGTGCTCCGAAAACGGCTACCACGGAGGATAACGTGACAAAAATTCACGATCTCGTATTGGCAGATCGACGATTGAATGTGCGCGAGATAGCTAAGATCGTAGGCATCTCAAAAGACCGCGTGGATCATGTCCTGCATGAAATTTTGGGCATGAGAAAGCTGTCCGCGCGATGGGTGCCGCGTTTACTCACTCCGGACAACAAGCGCAACCGTGAGACAACTTCAGAGCAATGTCTCACGCTGTTTAAGCACAATACAAAGGAGTTTCTGCATCATTTCGTGACAGTTGACGAAACATGGATCCACTGATATACACCAGAGACCAAGGAACAGTCGAAACAGTGGACTTTACCCAGCGAAAGTGCTCCGAAGAAGGCGAAGACTTTTGCCCCATTGGCCGGAAAGGTGATGGCCACCGTTTTCTGGGATTTACTAGTTATGATCTACATCGACTAGCTGGAGAGGGGCAAAACGGTCACAGGGCTGTACTATGCCGAATTATTGGACCGATTCGACGTCGAATTGCAGAAAAAACGGCCCCATTTGGCGAAGAAAAAAGTGCTCTTCCACCATGACAACGTACCGGCTCACACCTCCGCCGTCGCCATGGCCAAATTGGTCGAATTAGACTACGAACTGCTACCCCATCCACCGCATTCTCCGGATTTAGCCCCGTGCGACTTCTTTTTGTTTCCAAACTTGAAAAAGTCACTCGCTGGGCAGAAATTTGAGTCGAATGAGGTGGTAATCGCTGCCACGGAAGCCTACTTTTCAGACCTCGAGGAAACGTATTTTTCAGACGGGTTAAAGAAGTTGGAGCATCGCTGGGCCAAGTGTATCGAACTAAAAGGAGACTAAGTTGAAAAATAAAACGCCACGTTTCCAAAATTTTCGTTTTTCTTTTGTAGGCTAAGTACAATCGGACCACCCTCGTATACAGCGTTGAAAGTGGGCATGAGCAAACGTGCACATTTGACGTTAATGGGTTAATATTTTCTTTCTGTACTACCCTCATTGGACCCTTCCAAATCGTTACCGAGGACGGCAACGATTCTAAGGGGGGAAAGATGTTACGTGACGTACCATCTGTTATCTTTTACGATTAAAATTTCGCTTTCGAGAGTCCCGTTCGTGTTGCGCTAAGGCCAAGGACATAGCTATAAAACACCATAGCTAGCAGTATTCGTGTGCGCGGCTCGGTGAGAATAAGCAGGAGAAGCTAATTCACGCTGCTGCAGCATGCTGCGACAGTATGCCGCAGTCAACGTGCTTTGCTATGTAATACGAGCCGATTAGAAACGCGTAAACGTCTAAAGCGTATGCGCTAGAGAGAGAAGAAATGCGAGGGACAAAGGATATATAACAAACTGGTGAAAACAACGATAGGAGATTAGTCAGTCAGGACTGAGCGCCAGAGCAAGAAGGCCGCAATATTTCCGAATTCAGAGTTTATCTCGCCAATTTAAATTTAAATTTAGTTTGGTTTAATTTGCCCGAGTTATCCGGTATTACTCTTTTACTTAATTATAAGTTGAGTTCAGTTTACTTCATCAGAGCTTGAGTGTTAATAAAAGGCGAAGAAAGACAGCAACCATACAGGCAATTTGTTCACGCCGCTAGGACCAAGGAAATATATTAATCCACAGTATTAATTGGACATATACAAATATACGCGTACATTTGACGGACCTTATCCGTTTAAAAAAAACAAAAGGAAGGAAGACCACATAAATAAAAAAAAAAGCAATAATAATACATAAAGGACCGAACGCCAATAACTTTATTAAAAATAAGTGAGTACCATTTGTTAATAAATAATAGACAACGCGAGGCGAAGATCACGCGTCTATATATATATATATATATATATATATATCTCTCTTTTTCTATTTTCGTTCGAATATTTATTCATGTACTTGAGCTTTATAAAATAAAGTTTATAAATACTATTAAACGCGCTTGAGTATATCCATATGTTTTCCCGTTATTGTTTATTTGATATATAATCAATTGCGGATAGATATATACGAAAACGTCCGATCGAATATCTCACGATCACGGTATCGGGAGCCCGGATTCAAATTTACAAAGATTTTGTTATTGACGTGCGAACGGGACGGGGTGCCCGAGAGCCTGACTGCCGCCCGAGTCAAAGGCCTCTCGGCTGTTGAAAGGCCTACACAGGGACAAATTCGCCTCGGGCGAATTGTCACCTATCACAGAGGCCCACAAAAAAGTTAAGTTTGATGTCCGTCAATAAAACCTCAATATTCCAATGTATTTTCTCCCACTGAATTCGAATCCGCCGTCCGTTTCATTTCAGCACCTCAGATTGTGACACGTAAAATTAAATTCAGAGGAAATAGCAATAACTGATTCAGAATATAAATCTTGTATATTTTTAGAGTCGCTGAATCCGAATTCAGTGTTCGATTCTGCAACGGTAGTCGATTCAATTAATCGAACCGTTCGCGATTCTGATTTTCGCGCGTTAGTTCTAAGTATTGAGAGAGAGAGGGGGCGCGCGATCTTTTGAATTGGCAGTTACGACTCAGCTGTTGATACGAGTGGATATCGCCGAATTTTGTTTGCACTGTTTTTCTCGCCGAGTAATAGTTTTATCCAGAACAATTACGCGCGCGAGTGCAACAACGTGATCAACAGATTGCAGCGTTACGGTAGCAGCAGATTTGCAGCTAATAGGCGGTACGAGGCAACGCAACTGATAATCCAGGATCAGAGTCAGTTGATAGTTTTACTGACATCAACAATTACGGCTGATCACCGTAATTGCACCGCAGGGTAGGTGCACCTCCCTTAATTATCACGTGACAAAATACATTTGGTATTTTGTCCAACCGTGTTAGCGTTAATTTTTTTTGTATTCGCGCCGAGCGTTAGATCACGCCAATATTCGAATCTTCTCTCTCTCTCTTTCTCACCGAAAATTATTTAATTGTAAATCCTATTCGCGTGCGTCAGTCTTTCGGCCCGACAAAGACTGTAGAGATTTTTTATTAATAAAATCTGTTAAACTTATTCGCCGATTTCGTCATATAATTTTCCTAGTAGTTTAAGCAATTGAAAAAGCCTTAGGTTTTAATCCGATTACAGCTAGGGGATTAAGTGGATTAGGAGTAAAGTCGCTTACACTTAAAACTCATCGAGTGTCACAAGGCACGTGACTTAAGGTGAGTTCAACTCCGCTTGATCGAAGACAACTAAGTTAAGTCAGCTGACGTTAAGGCGAATACACGTATTAACATACGTGTTAACGGAGCGGCGGTTTGCTCTGCATCGTGGGAGTTTTCTCTTAAATAAATTTCTCATTTTGTGGATTTATCCCCCTGTTACAATTCATATTAACATTATTATTGTATAGTCTACTCCCATGAGGCCATTTGATATTTTTGCAATTTTGACATGAAATTTCTCTAAAACAATATAAAGTAACCTTGAAATGACCTTTAGGGTCATAAAAAAATAAAAAAATACATATCTGAATGTAAAATTTCTCGTTCTTCTAGAATCTAGATTTAAAAAATTCTGTTTTTGCATCGTATGCAAATTTGAAATTCAACTGATATACTGAGATGAAACGGACGCCGCATTCGGATTTAGCAGAAAATAATACATAAGTATATTGAGGTTTTATTGATGGACATTAAGCTTCACTTTCTTTGTACGCCTGTATTATGAATGCGGAGGGTTGGTGAACAAAGCCAGTAGAGGATAACACCTACATGGAATGTAGGTGTGTGTATGATGTGTGATGTGTGTGTGTGTGTAATGTGTAATGTGTGTGTGATAGGCGCAATTGGATATATTGTAGGTTTCGTATATGAAAATGTATTGAACAAAACCATGTTAAAAAGTTGAAAAAAAAAACCAGTTTTTAGACTTTTTCTCGAGACTCGCTATACAATTTGTTGTAAAAAAAACTCACTTTTTATTACTAAAATATATTACCGTCATTTAACGAAGCTGACTAATTGCAATTTGAATATTTCAGGAATTTTTCAAGGTAGACTAAATCAGTATCATGGCCCACGAAAATCATGTAAATTCGTTTGATTATGCAGAATGTGTGTGATTTCTCTCAAAGTATACAAATTTATAATTGCTGCGAAAAAAATATTTTTGAAAAAAATCAATTTTTCGACTGTACGCATATGATGGGGTCTATGAAGCTCAGAATTACGGCAATACTATTCTTTTTGCTCGTCGAATGTGTGATGACTAGTCTATCGATCGTGAAAGGGGTGTATTTCGACTATATTAAGTAAACAGAATATCTTAATTTTGGTATCAATACACTTTATCTAGTTCTTTAGATATATAATTATTATATCTTTTATACCAAAATTGTTCATAAATTTAGTAAATTTGTCGTAATGTATGAATACTTACAGTAGTAAAAGCGTTTCATTGTATAAAGTGATCTATAACTCCAAGAACATCTAGATTCGTAAAATTCAGTGAATAATTTAATACTAAATTGTTGTAACATAAAACATGAACATTTGGCAATAAAATTATCGATGAATGTTCCGGACAGATCTATGTTTAATGGTAATAAATCTCTAATCAGACGAGGGTCATACATTATACTTTAAAGATTAAAATCCTATTTTCCAATCAACTTTACATAAGTCATTGGGGTCAAAAAAACAATAGAACTTATTTTTTGTAACGTTGTTTCCATCTAACACTAATATTTTAGATTGAGAATGATCACATTCTGTATTTTTTTTTAAATTGAACTTCTTATATGACATGGATTACCTGTAAAAAAAATTAGAATATTAATTACATGAATTGGAAATAAATTCAATCTAATGGTATTGTAGCAAACAATAATCTAGCAATTTATAATATAATTACAATGATATTACGTATTCATATATCATTGTAATATACTTGTTTATAAATACATGTGTCGTATTTTTATATCGTTAGCTCGTTCTAGCTTGCAGTTATAAATTTAATTAATAATCTGTTAAAATTATTTGACGTTATGATGCTTGCTACCTCTCCTATAATAAAATTACGTATTTTTATGTGACATGGAAATATCCCTTGAATCACATGTACGGGCCTAATAATATATATGTATGTGTAAACAAGCTATATACACGGCAGCTTGTACGAAGCTTAATTTTGAATTTTGAATCGTAGGCGCAACCGATTGCTGCGGAATCTAGGCCATGAGCGGTAGCGACACGAAGCTGAAAAAGAACTCATTGCAACTAATCACAACGCGGAAGCACGGGGTACGATAGGCATTTTGGCGGTGCATCGGAGGTAGTCACGATACCTGACTGTAATGGCGTACTAGGTGTACAGCTGAGATTTACCTGATGGTAGGTGAAGTTGGTGCGCAGTGGCCAAGACGCATCTGCGCAGTTAAGAAAGTATTGCAAAGGAAGTTGTGGTTTCGTGCGTGTCTTTTCCGTGGTCTTTTCTTTTCTTTTTTTTATGTTTTGCATTTTGTTATACTTTTTTGTGTGCGCCGTCCGTTTCACAGGTGGTAGGGGTGATCCAGATGGGAATAACGAGACTCAGGCTGCAATGGCTGGAGCGGTGCGCAGTCTGAAGAGCGTGTATGCGGTCCAGTTTAAAATGATTTAGCACATGCGCAGTACAACTTACTGTCAATTACGCGATCGCTGACGTGCGTAGATGTCGGGAACACTAGTTGCTAGTTTATGATGCCGTCGACTGCAACTAATGCAATTTGTTTATGTACCACTTGTCAGGGCAGTCGAAGTTACAGCATTTGAGGGCGAGTATAGTTAAAACTCTGCGAGGACGTGCTTACTAGATTATATGCTCGCCCAAGGGCTGAGTGCCGGGGGGAAGGTGACGGTACTCGTGGATTGCGTTTTACGGGTGTTCGTGGCATCGACGCTACTTAAGATCGAAGCTCCAATTTACTTCGATTTTCTGTCAGGGCAATTGCACGATCTTCTGTATGATCAGACGGAGATACGAAAAATGACCAGAATTCGTGCACTCGTTTTCAGCATACTCGAGGTTGGAATCAGTTCTCCGCCCTCGTAATGACAGGTGGTGTTACATCTAGGTTGTATCCAATCGGCCGAGGGAGGGTTAAACTCTATTCCCCAGTGGTCATACTATATCATCTTTGGGCTCAGAAGTGCTCCACCGTACCATAACCGAGCAGGGAATTGGGAGCGCTCTGACAGACTCCGATTCAGGTGAGGGTACAGAGACATCTGTGATATTCGCAGGTACGCCCAAGGAGAAGCATACGGGGAGTGCCCAGAGCAGATTTTCTTCTATAACATCACTTATTGCTAGTCATGAGAGAGGCGATAAAAGCATTAGAAATTTTTACCATTAACACGCAAAAACATGACGCCATCGCATCTATTGTCGTATCCATAATCGAGCCGCTTATTGCTGAACCGTTAATTGCCGTTGAGCCACCTATTGCCGAACTGCCTACTGCCATTATTGAAAAAGAAAAAATGTAACTGATTGGAAAAAAGATGCTTACTTTATAACCATGAAACTTATAGTCATCGAGACGATATTTATTAAGAAAGTTATTGCTGAGACCCTTGATGAATTTCAACTATTTTTACCATCAAAAGTTTGCATTACGTTGATAAAAAATCGAAAATTATTAGACAGTCTGATAGCATATGCAAATAAACGTAAGCTGTTTTATGTACTAAAGTGAATTACATTGCATTCAAATACCGGTTTCTTAGAGATAAGTGAAATGAAATTCAAAAAATATTAAGTTTTGTATTGGTTATTTCCAGTAGATTATGGGTCGCTGAATTCAAATCTGATCTTAGAATTACTCTATCACATCTAATTTTTAAAATATCCTAATCGAAATAGCAAAAAATGTTGTTTTTTACTGTTTTTGAGGTACAATCATATCTTGAATAAATTTCTTTTTGGTAAATTGAGTACGCTGTCTCAAATGAACACTCTTATCCTTTAAAAACATTTTTTAAGTTTAGAATATCTTTTTATCTGTCTAAGATATCGTCATTTGAAGTTTACTTTTATAGCAATTTTATTGAAGCCTGAAAATAGAGGGAGTCATTTAAAAATCGATGTAACGTAATTTTTTTTTTAATATTAAAGCTTTATTAACTTTTGACAAACTATTTAGCTTTTAAGATCACTCTTACAATTCGTGAGTGATCTTATACAAAAGTAATATACATTGTTTAAATAGTGTTTAGATTTCTAAGTTACATTCTGTAAAGAATTGATGTAAAAATGTAAAAAAATGTTTACAAGTGGTATAAACTCTTCCAAGAAGGCCGAGAAGACACCGACGACGAACCTCGTTCTGGACGCCCCAGCACATCAACAGCTTATGAGAATGTTGAAGAAGTGAAGAAAATAGTGTTGGGAAATCGTCGAATTACCATTAGAGAAATTGCTGATGATATTGGCATCTCATTTGGTTCGTGCCAATCAATTTTGACGAGTGTTTTAGACATGAGACGTGTGTCAGCGAAGTTTGTTCCGAAATTGCTCAATTTCGACCAAAAGAAACGTCGCATGAGCATCGCCCAAGAGCTACTGAATGACCAGATTTACTCAACAGGGTTATAACAGGTGACGAAACATGGGTATACGGTTATGACGTCGAGACTAAGACTCAATCGTCCCAGTGGAGGCATTCTGGATCACCAAGAACAAAAAAAGCACGCCAAGTTCGATCAAATGTAAAGGTTTTGCTTACAGTTTTCTTTGACTGCAGGGGCGTGGTGCATCATGAGTTCTTGCCACAGGGTAGAACAGTAAATAAGGAATATTACCTGCAAGTTATGCGCAATTTGCGCAAAGCAATCCGCCAGAAACGTCCGAATTTGTGGAAAAATAAAAATTGGCTTTTGCACCATAACGCCCCTGTTCACACATCGTTGCTTGTGCGCGAATTTTTGGCTAAAACCAACACAGTAACGATGCCACAGGCACCGTATTCCCCAGATCTGGCCCCCTGTGACTTCTTCTTGTTCCCAAAACTGAAGAGGCCCATGAAAGGACGGCGTTTTGCCACGATTGAGGAGATAAAGACGGCATCGAAGGATGAACTAAACAAGATCACAAAAAATGATTTTTTGAAATGCTTTGAGGATTGGAAAAATCGTTGGCACAAGTGCATTATATCCGAGGGGGATTACTTTGAAGGAGATAAAATAAAAATTGATGAATAAATAAATATTTTTTGAGAAAAATAAAAATTCACCTTACTTTTTGATCACACCTCGTACATTACTTTTGTATAAGATCACTCACGAATTGTAAGAGTGATCTTAAAAGCTAAATAGCTTGTCAAAAGTTAATAAAGCTTTAATATTAAAAAAAAAAATTACGTTACATCGATTTTCAAATGACTCCCTCTATTTTCAGGCTTCAATAAAATTGCTATAAAAGTAAACTTCAAATGACGATATCTTAGACAGATAAAAAGATATTCTAAACTTAAAAAATGTTTTTAAAGGATAAGAGTGTTCATTTGAGACAGCGTACTCAATTTACCAAAAAGAAATTTATTCAAGATATGATTGTACCTCAAAAACAGTAAAAAACAACATTTTTTGCTATTTCGATTAGGATATTTTAAAAATTAGATGTGATAGAGTAATTCTAAGATCAGATTTGAATTCAGCGACCCATAATCTACTGGAAATAACCAATACAAAACTTAATATTTTTTGAATTTCATTTCACTTATCTCTAAGAAACCGGTATTTGAATGCAATGTAATTCACTTTAGTACATAAAACAGCTTACGTTTATTTGCAGATGCTATCAGACTGTCTAATAATTTTCGATTTTTTATCAACGTAATGCAAACTTTTGATGGTAAAAATAGTTGAAATTCATCAAGGGTCTCAGCAATAACTTTCTTAATAAATATCGTCTCGATGACTATAAGTTTCATGGTTATAAAGTAAGCATCTTTTTTCCAATCAGTTACATTTTTTCTTTTTCAATAATGGCAGTAGGCAGTTCCGCAATAGGTGGCTCAACGGCAATTAATGGTTCAACAATAAACGGCTCGATTATGGATACGACAATAGATGCGATGGCGTCATGTTCTTACGTGTTAATGGTAAAAATTTCTAATGCTTTTATCGCCTCTCTCATGACTAGCAATAAGTGATGTTATAGAAGAACATCTGCTGTACCTGGCAACAAGAAATGTTTATCCTCGTGTGTTTTTATTATTATTATTATTGTTTTTATTATATCAACGAGATCTAATATTTTTTTGACTAGTCAAAACCACCTTATCTCCAGAAGTAAATGATGTAGTCGTTGCAGGTGTTGACGGCTTTCAATATAGAATTCTTGACGCTTTTAGCTTTTTTATGTCAATTTTGTTCTCAGCTTTTATTTATTACTTCAAAGATCTATAAACTCGAGCATTAGGGACCCTGTCATGCCCAACCACCTTTTTATTAGCCCTCGGTATGTTGAACTGATTTGGCTCAGGATAATCAGAGGTGTCGAAATCATCAACGTCCCAACATAAAATATCGTAAATGTTTGTATTACTTATTTCATGTACAAAGTTGTCTGTTAGCGAACAAAAGCTTTCAAATGGTCACTCCTCATAGCAATCTACGTGTATTAGTGACAAAAACTGTACAAGAGAATCTTGGATGAGTTCAAAACCACAAATCGTAAAAATTAAATTTCACAGATATCTTCATCAAATATATCACTACTGTGATAATTTGAACAGACTATCAAGAGCATCAAAATCTTCCCTCTCATAT